TTTAGCTAGTTTAGCTAAACAATTTGCTTTACTGTTTCGAGCTTGAGACACCAGGGTTAATGTAACGTGCCGGATTTGTTTCATAAGCTGAGTAGCTCTTTTATGACAAAAAACTAATTCAACTTTATTTAGCTTATAGATACCCAACACTTTATTTATAACAATATGTAAAGCACAAAAAATGTGATGATTTTCCACTTTTAACGCAATAACCATCTCGATGTCAGCTATCAGAGCTTCATATTTAGTTTCATTATTAGTCCGGGGCTCACTTAGTCCATATGAATATCTCATTATGCCTCCCTTTGGTATCATAAAGATGAGACCAATGCCACCTCGTGCCTTTGAAAGATCTGGAAGATGGGCGGGTTTGATGAAAGAGGCTCCATCAAAATATAATTCCCAAATTTGTAGCTTCTTTTTCTTTTGAATGATTAGAACTTGCTTGTCAGATAAATCATCGTTGAGCGGAGAATAAGTAGTTACGGGATTAGCAATAAGAAAATCTGTTAGGACTTGTCATTTCACTCTTTTTGAGGCACATATGTGATAATGAATTGCAAGAGCAGGACTGCCCAAGAAGCCAAGCAACCTGTCAATGCTGGTCTTATCTTCAAAAACTTCAATGGATCCATGTTTGAGATGAGAGTGATATTGTGAGACAACATGTAAGAAGAAAGGAGTGGTGTGAAACAGTGGCAAAGAAGGTGTGTCGAATCAGGGAAGAAGAAAGGAAGGCTAGGGTGTTTGGTTTAAAGGGAGGAAGAAGCGTACTGGAAGCAAAAAGATAGAGGTGGAAGATTTCAACGCTTGGAGTAGGAAATCACACAGGCTAGGGCGGAGAAAGGGAAGGTTGTGTGCACTCAGCGAAAAAGAACAAAGAGAAAGTACGACTAGTGAAGAAGAAGAAACATTAAGGAAATAGGTAAACAAGTTTCTGTTCCGTTGTGTGGCTTTTCAAATAAGAAGAAGGCGAATGGAGAGTTGATTGCAAGAGAAGAAACCTTCGGCTTATTGTGATTTCCACTCAACAAAACAAAAAAAAAGAGAAACGAAAAAACATGAAGAAAATTTTGGGAGATGCTTGCAAGGGAGCAATGGTACGAAACAGTCTGAAAAATTTGAATCAATGGTTAACAAGCCTATCGTGTTGTTTTCACTTCAAACATAGCCGCAAACGATTATTCCTTTCCGCAAGATCTAAAAGGCAGAAGGAGGAAATAGATAAATACTTAAGTTAATTAATTTAATTTTAATTAATATAACTTATTTCTTTTTTTTTCCTCTCCCTTTATTTTTTTCCCTGGCTTGTCATTGGCATCCACGGTACAGGCCCCTTAGGATGGGGGTTAGAATCCCCTCTGACACAGTTTGCCTTAAGGAGGTGACACTCAAATTATTAGGCCCATTAGGGGTGGCTGGATGCTCGGATAATATCCCTGGTCATATATATATATATATATATTAGTATGTGTGAAAATGTCCCTAATAATAATAACTCTTAAATTGCTAAAAAATTAGCTAAACTTTAAATCGGCGAGTTCCGCTCCCAACAAAAAACAAATTTCAACTCCAATATGGTTGACCTCAAAGTGAAATGAATTATATATGCAATATATACTACCTAAGATACTTTAATATTTAAAAATAAATAAATAAAAATCTTCTTCAAGTTTAACAACAATAGAAATTTATTCAAGCCCTAGAAAATCAGAATCAGTCAATGTTCTATTACAAACACATGATGAGATGATTACCTGATCAAAGATGAAGCGGTTAGCAACTCTCTTTACCGTGCTAGGATCAACTGCATCAATCCGTGCAAAGAGCTCAGCAACGGGTATCCTTCGGCCGTAAGTCAGTAGCTGAAAATGTGAATAATGGAAGCTAAGTTACATAAATAATATTAAACATTGGTTTATCATAAACCCAATAAAATTTAGCTGCTCATCCTATCCTGGTACAAGGAAGAGATTTCACCTGACGGCCAATATCCTCAGCAACAGGACTTGTGCCATCAATATGCAGTTGTAAGGAGGATTTCAGCTGTAAGAAAAAAATAATATTAAAATGAAATAAAAAAAAGAACCCATCAGTATCAACAGAGGGCTATGAAGGTAGCAAAGCAATAACTTTCTTTTAATAAATCTAGCAGCGGCGGCAAAAGGATTTCTAATCTAGGAAATTGTAAGGTTTACTAATACAGCTATAATAAAGCAAAAAGATAAAAATTACTTAAAGGGACTTAGAATTGCAAATAATATACCACTGAATATATATATTTCTTTATAAAATCAATAAATATGATAATTATAACAGAATGCTGATCAATGATCAAATAAATACGGAAAAAAAGGAGCTGTTCAATTGATACAAAATTCGCAAGCAATTATAAATTAATCACCACAATTTGAGCCTCAAAAGTATAAATTTGAAGGAAATACTTACAAAAACAAGATCTTTAGCTATTAAGTCAAAAAGAAAAATCATCAAAAATGGTCTCGGTTCAATGTAAGATGATTTTTCAGAGAGTTAAATATTAGCATTTGTATTTCAATTAAGAAGATCACACCTCCAATGTGCACACACATGACTGAAAAAGGGAATAAGATTTTGTGTTCAATCAAAATTATCTAATAAATGCATCAAATTATAGATTTATAAATTTATTGTCTCTACGATACTGGGATATATAGCTGGCACAACACCAACAAAAACAAGCCTTTATCCCACTAAGTGAGAGTCAACTACATTAGTCCTTTTTCTCCATTGTGTCCTATTGAGTGTCAAATTTTTGTTTAATTCTAATAGATCAAGATCATTTTTTATACAATATGTCTATGTCTTTTTAGATTTACCTCTACATTTCTTAACATAAGTCGAATCTAAAACATCTACTCTCCTAACTGGATTATCATATGGTCGACATTTAATGTGACCAAACCATCTAAGACGACTCTCTCTAATCTTGTCTGCCACTAAAGCTACACCAACCCTTTCACAGATACATTCGTTTCGCATTTGGTCATCAAGTGTCAAGCCACTCATCCATCTAAGCATTCTCATCTCAGCAACATTTAACTTGGTTTTATGCTTCTCTTTTAAATGCCAATATTCTATGTCATAAAACATTGCAGGTCTCACCAACATCTTATAAATTTCTTTTTTAAGTTTAAGTGGTACTTTTCTATCCCACAATAGGCCTAATGCATTCCTTCACTTCAACCAACCAACCTGAATTCTACTAATAACATCGGCAACCCAATCTATATTACCGTCACAATGAATAATAGACCCAAGATATCTAAAACGTTCACACCTTTTAATCATTTGATTGCCCGTAGTTACAACTCTGCCACTAAAGCTAATACTAAAATTACAATCCATTTATTCAGTTTTAGATCTACTCAAATGAAGGCCTTTAGAATCCAAATGCAGACCTCCATAATTCAAGTTTTTCCTAACTCTTTCGCTAATCTTATCCACAAGAATGATATATAGCTGACATAAAATCAACCAAATTTAATTTCAAATAGTCAATAAATCTAAACTTGATTTTATCAAAAATTAATATCTTAATAAGAAGAACATGTAAAGCAAATATGAAAGCCATAACAAAAAGTAATCAGAAGGTGTACCGGTGCCATATGAGCAGGCAAACAACAATTATAATAACCCAAAGAAAATGAAAAGCACTGAGACAAATTGCCAAAGGCTAACAACAGTATCCAGATAAGCATTAAGGATTAATCTGGTTGGTTGTTATCGATATAGAATTTAAAAATATTCAGAAGAAAAAAAATATAATAAAACCTAGAGAATAAAGTATATATTTGTGAAATATTGTTGGGGGCAATGCGAGGAATCTTGATTTTTTATGTTACTCCAGAGCTAGGGGTAGCTGGTGGGGAGAATCTTAGACTTCCGATAGCCAGCTTTTAGAAAACAATTCTTGTATGATGTTTTAAAACAGTAGTAGGAAGAAGTATAACGTATTAATCAGACATCAATAATTCAGTGTTCCAAAGGGAGAGAAAATATAAGAAACAAAAACTGAATCACGTGTGCATTTACAGAAGTGAAACAAACCTGATTACGAGCACGAATAACATCAGCTTCTGACACTCGGTAAGATAGTTTGCTAATCTCTTGCATGATTGCCCAGGCCAAATCATCCACACAATCGGCCTGTATAAGGAAAACAGAGCATAAAATTACTATTTCTGCAGGTGTAACCAAATAACAAAAAGTACAGGCCTTGTGCCTGACAATTTTCAGACAAATATACAAGTGAATGCGTAAGCGAGCAATGCTTTCATGTTACTGCAATAAAAAAGGCACAAAGCATGCCCAATTAAAAGAGATCATGTAAATAATATTATCAAAACACAGAAACTTAGAGCATTAAAATTTATAAACAATCCATGTCAGAAGTGAGTGGATGAAATGATCAGCACCTTAGTTACAGTTAGCCAATGGGTTAGCTCTATCAACTCTAATCAGTTTGACAGTATACTGAAACAACAGCATTATGTGAAAAATGAGATCATTGAAGTTCAAAAAAATAAAAAATAAAAAATTCAGAAATAATGAGAAAGGTAAGAAAATTTTGTAAAATTAATTCACAAAGCAATAAAACTAGGATTTTTTTTCTTTTTCATGAATGTATCATAGAACCCATTCAATCAAAGCCGATTAGGAGAAGCCACAAGAATGATAATCTAATCTAGTCGTTAGACTCTACTGGGGCAATATTAACATTGCAATCCTCGAAAAAGGCTAATGATGTAGTGAAGTTGTGAAAGTTTAGAAAATTTAGCTAAATGATTTCAGTTCACAGTTTCCTAGAATTCCTTGGTAGCAGGACTTAAACGCATGAGGTTTTGGGTATGTGATAGGACAAAGGATGGTGTAGTTGTGGTGAGAGAGGATCTTGAGAGCAGAAGAGCATAGTATAATTAGATGTTGGGGGTAACATGGGACAAATATTGTTGAGTTGCAGCAGTTTTGCAGTGGTGAAAGGGCTGTTTTTAGCAAAACAGAGGGGAATATGTGAGGGAGGGAGAACGAGAGAGAGATGAGAATAGGTGTGAGCAGTGGGGAATACCGTGATTTTATCAAGCCAATAATATTCATTTTCCCATCATAATCATCAAGGTCTTATTCATTAGAAAATAGACCCGAAAATTAAATAAAATAGTAACAATAAACAAAATTTTCTCTCTAAATTCATAAATCTAAATTCATAAATCCAAACAAATTTAAAATAAAACTGTGATATTCTCTAAAACATAAATCAAGTAATAAATATAAAATAATTAACCAGCCATGAATGTCAAATGCACGTCTAGATTGGACTCTTCATCGCTAAGCATAGAAACTGACAGAGAAAAGCATGGAAGGAGATTATGTGGCAATCTTGGCATAACCCAATGCATAGAAGGAAGCTTTTGTGATATATTCTAAATTGTACATTTTTTAACCCGTAATTATCCACTTTCATGTAGAGACTGCATATTACTACATTTATTGATGGAAGATTGTTCAACATTTAGTTTAAATAAGTGATAATGATTCAAGCTATACCGTGACATGTCCTTTGTACAATGATTTGTCCCCCCCTCTCTCTCTCATATATCTGCGTGCGCGCGCGCGCGCGCGTGTGTGTGTGTGTGTGTGTGTGTGTGTGTGTGTGGTTGTGTGTGTGTGTGTGTGTGTGTGTGCCGCAAGCCTTAGCCTGTTGGTGGTGGGGTCACTGTGAGTCCCCTCAGGTCAAAAATTCGATTCCACCGTGGAGCGGGGGCTCTGGAATTTTAAGCACATGGCGCGGGCTCTTATTATGGGGCCAAAAAACTCATGAGAAATCGATATATATATATATATATACCTTAATATTGAAACATCACTGAACATATATCATTAGCCTTTTTCGAGGATTGCAATATAATTTGACCATATTGAAACAAAGTTTGAAACTCTCTCCCCACTTCTGACTTCAGGCAAGCTCAGTGATGCTCATAAGATCAAAAAGCTAGGGTTGTCAAAAAAGCTCATTGTTTGCGAATAACTCGTGTTCAACTCGTTAAGTAACTTGTGTTTGAATCTTTCGTTAAGTAAGCAAGTCAAACACAACCAACCCTTTGTTTGATCATGTTCGGCTCATAATAGCTCAAATTAAGAAAATAAAATTATATATATATATATATATATATATCTAGATTTAAATCACCATACTTCGAGTGCTCGTATGATTCTAAGTTTTTTATTGCAAATAAATGGTGCAAGTTAGAATCCAACACCCTGCAACTATTTTTATAATTGTTTTAAACGGGTCAATTTCGAGCCGAACACGAGTTGAACACAAACGAGAATATGTAAATCGAGTCGAGCACAAACACACTGTCTAGAGAATTTTCGAAACCTATTTAATTTTGAATGAGCCGATATGCGCCAAGCCAGAGCTCGATCAAGCTCAACTCGTTTACAACACTAATCAAAGCCTAATTCCCACACATCCATACACATACGATCTCATCTAATATTGTTATGCCTAATAGCCTATATTTCAACTCTAGAATCTAAACGTAAGCCAACTAAACAACTGAATAAAATAATAAGCTCTAATACTTCTAAAACAAGTTTTGTATGAAACTTGATATGCTAATAAAATATAGGTATCACACATACAAAGAAAATAAAATAAAATAATAATTAATATAAAAAAATGTGAAAACAAAAGCTTATGAATATGCTTTTGAATTAGGGTTGTTAAAACGGCTCGTTGTTCGCCAACAACTTGTGTTTAGCTCGTTAAGTAGCTCATGTTCAATTCATTCGCTAAGCAAAGATTTGTTCGTTCGTGTTCGGCTCTTTTTGGAACGAAATAATTATATATATATACTTGATGGATATTATTTTTAAATAATTTAATAGGCTGCAACGGTTTATAATGAATTAAAATTAATATATACTTGATGGATATTATTTTTAAATAATTTAATTGGCTGCAACGGTTTATAATGAATTAAAAAATAGGATAAAATATATTAAATTCTATTTATATGAATAGTTTAATATAAATAATAAGATTTCAATCTCGCCCCTGTAATTAAAAATCCTACGGCTGCATGATTAGGGATGTCAAAATAATTTTTTTGTTCGCGAACAACTCATGTTCAGCTCGTTAAGCAAACGAGCCTAATATGAACAAATTTTTTTGTGCTCGATATATTAACGAGTCAAGCACAAACAATTGTATTTTTAACGAGCCGATCCTGGGCTCGCTCAGAGTTGGCTCGTTTATACCCCTGTTTTGAATATATGAAACTCTCAAACAAGTAAGCTGCCTGGTTTCGAGATCATAACATCATAATTTGTTGTAGCAGACGAATGAAAAAAATTTAAGAATTATCAAAATATAAGATATAAAAAAAATATAAATTCAGATACCATCAAACAAGTTTGTGCAAAGGGAAAATGCAACAACAAATTTTCACATCCTGTATAGAAATTTAGTAGTCAACCTAGTGAGCGGAGTTTAACACGTCTCGTAGAATCTGCAATCTAGATAGAATTATTCAGAAAGCGGTATTCCGAATAAAAAAGAAAATACTAACCTTACACATTGCATAAACACCAAAAAGACCAGTATCCTTGTAGTTAGTATTAAATGCCATGACGCTCTCAGCAATTTCATTAATGGCAATACGCTGAACCAACTCAGAGCTGTTAACAGAGCAAAGAAACAATAACCCAATATAAAATTTAAATATAGTTATTATAATGCTAATAATGATAAACTGAATATACATATAAGGCCACTTTCAAAAAAAAAGCATAAATTAAAAACAAACCCCGCATGCTTTCCACCGCCAGAACTTTTGTTCCAAGAACCAAGCATAGACTGCATAACCATCAAAGGAATAGAGTCTGGATCTGTCCATGATGCCCCAGCAAAAGCAACAGCAAATTGTGCAAGCGGAAGGTCATCATCTATTAACCGGACCTATATTTAATTGATAAAAAAATTTAGAAATCACTGGTTAGAACATGTGGTGAAAATAGACGCCAAGGGATATGAGAAATTGAGCCTTTGCACCTCAGAGCCTGTAAAATATGCCGGTTCTCGTGCAACCAACTGAGAAGCTGTAGCTGGATCTGTTGAGAGCTTTGTAAACTGCTTCTTGACGAGCTCAACTATTTCCTCGTGCTTTACAGCACCAGCAGCAGAAATGACCTAAAAAGCTAGTTTGAATTGAGCATAGTTCCTTAATAGTATCTAAAGAGTACAAGATTCTAACCATAACTGAATCATATGAAAAATTCAATATGAAGGAGAAGATCGCCAAGAAGTTCTCACCATTCTGGGAGCAGTGTAATGTGTTGATATGTAGTTCTTAAGATGATCTTTCGTTATTGTTTTGATGTTCTGAGAAGATCCCAGTATAGTTCTCCCTAATGGAGTGTACTGAAATGCAGTCGCATGCAAATGGTCGAAAATCACTTCTTCTGCCTGTCCTTCAACCTAAAAGCAAAGTAAAAGAATAAAGATGAAAAAACTCATCTTATGTGTAGCAATAATCACGTTCCATCAGAATAATATTGATAGTGCATCACCGTTTTATACATGGAAAAATTCACCTTATCGGCATAAAATCAGATAAGCCTATTACCTATTGACACATTTGAACAAAGAGCCTTATGATTTAATAATAAAAAATGACAGAGACATCACGACCTCCATACCTCAATTTAGACACTAGAAGTTTCAAATAATGTTGCTTTAATCAACATCATAGTCCAATCACAAGCTATTGTTCACTACACCTTTAGGGCCCGTTTGGCATCACTTTTGTTTTCTGTAATTATTTTTATTTTTTGCTTTCTATTTTAAAAATATGTTTGGCTAGTATAATTTTATATACATATTTTTTTGTTTTATAAAACAAATGAAGTTGTTTTTGAAAACAATCAAAACAAGTTTTAAGTATTTTTAAAAATAACTAGTTCAACCAAATGTGTTTTAAAACAAATCAAAACATAAATAAAACAAAATAAAAATAAAAAATGAAAAATAAAGTGATCCCAAACGGCTATATGTTTTATGATTGATTCAATAGTGATTTGATTATAATAAATCTTGTTAAGCGCATCTAATGATTTGCAAAGTGTGTATTGATTATTGAAGCAAATATCAACTATGATGATGATGACCCTATGCACTGAGCATGCTTATAGCTATTGCTACCTGAAGACGAGCTCAAGATGAGCAGTTCAACATGATAAAAATTGTGAATGAGGATTCTATGAACTAGTAAGTAATGTCTTTGTTTAGAATTTTTAGAGATGAAAAGATTGAACTTTACTTAACCTAAAGTCTCAAGGATGATAAGCATAATAATTAAACTTTAATTAGAAAAGAATATAAATAAATAAGTATTATAAATAAAGTATTTATAACATATTTAAAGTGTTTAAAAATTAATTAGACATCATGTTATATGATTAAGTTAACTACAATTGTAAAATAGGCAGCTAGTTAATACGAAGCTATGCAAGGACAATAGGGTTTCCAAGGTGAGCAACAACCTCCAACAGCTATATAACGACTAGTTTAAACTATTGTTTATTTTGCAACTAAGAAAACACATTACTTTTTTATTTGCATGCTTCCCTTGGTTATAAATTCTGAGTTAAATAGAAAGCAAAATAACCAATGAAAAATATATGATTTGTGCTTAAGTCTAGATCATTTTGGAAAAAGATCGAAGTGTTCATCAACAAGAGTTTCCTTTAAAGTGATCAATCCACCAATCTATCGTAGTTTGTTCGATTGATGTTTACATTGTATATTTGGTACAATCTTACAATAGAGATTTTGTGATATTGTTTGTTGTCATTAACCTTGTACACAATCAAAATCTATGAAGACCTTTCTAATTTGGAAAGATTTTTACTATAAATTAATAGATTTTTACCCATGAAGTTAGGTACTTAGAAATCATGTTAGATCAAGATAGTTGTGCTGGCCACTGAACAAGAAAGTAGGGTTCTCCTCCAGAAAGAAGGACTTAATAGAATACTAAGCAAGCACGTGCTTAAACATATACCAGTTCGGTGTAAAATCACATAAATTCGTTGAATCCGTTGCTTTGTAATCTAGGTTTACATGCTTGCTTATTTATCTGCTTGGTTTGAATATTTAGAAGTTTATCTCGTGATTGAATGGGTAGATTAATCTTCATGATTATGCTTTAGAATATGGTTCTCTCACTTTCAGCATTGTATTGCCAATATCATCATATGAAACTAGCATGTTGATTAGCTTTGTGTTTGATATGCTAAGGGGTTGTTTGGGATCACTTTTATTTTTTGTTTGCTTTTATTTTGTTATGTTTATGTTTTGATTTATATAAGTGACAAACTTGTAATTTGACAAATAGATTGGCTATGAAAATACAATTTCGCATGAATAATACCATATAAGAGAGCACTTAAAACAATCACTTAGTTAAGGGTTTCAAGCAAACCTCTTCCATCTCGCGAAGGATGACATCTCGCTCCCGATTAATCCTAGATTCATCAAAGCTGGAGTTCTGCAGTATATCCGCCAGGATCTCGAGTGCATTGGGCACGTCCTTCGCCAACACCTTTGCATAATACGTCGTCTGCTCCCTAGAAGTATAAGCATTAAGATGGCCCCCCATGTTCTCGATCTCCTCCTCGAGCTGCCTCACCGTCCGCTCCGCCGTTCCCTTGAAAATCATGTGCTCTAGAAAATGTGCGGTACCGTTTGTCTCGTCAGTCTCGAATCGGCTTCCGGCATCAATCCAGACGCCCACAGTGGCAGTGGGGGATGCGAGCGTGGATTCCGTAGCGATGCGGAGGCCGTTAGGGAGCGTCGTCACACGCGTCTCGGGTGCAGAGAGAATGTCGGTGTGGTCAGCGATGGATGGGTGAGGTGAGGCGAAGCGGAGAAAACGAGGGTCGGGGTCCTCGAGGCGCTTGATTTTTGCGCTGACAGCCTCCGAGAGGCGGGGGAGAAAAACGAGCG